TTGAAATCTATTATTATGTTCAGTAAAATAAGCCAAACAAGAAAAAGGCCAGTAGCGTGTGCTTCCACTTACATGAGGTACCTGGAATAGTGGAATTCATAGTAAGAAAGAAGAGTGGTGGTTGCTAGGGCCTAGAAGGAAAGAGGGAAAAGGAGTTATTATTTAATGGATGTGGAGTTTCAGTTTGGGAAGATGAAAACATTCTGGAGGCAGGGTGCAATGGCTCACGCCTATAATCCCAGCACTTTGGGAGGCCGAGGCAGTTGGATCACTTAAGGTTAGGAGTTTAAGACCAGCCTGGCCAACATGGCAAAACCCTATCTCTACTAAAAATACAAAAAGTTAGCCAGGCCTAGTAGTATGTACCTGTAGTCCCAGCTACTCAGGAGGCTGAGGCAGGAAAATCACTTTAACCCAGGAGGCACACGTTGCCATGAGCCAAGATCATGCCACTGCACTCTAGTTTAGGTGACAGAGCGAGACTCTGTCTCAAAAAAAAAAAAAAAAAAGAAAGATGAAAAAAAAAGTTCTGGAGATGGATGGTGGTGATGGTTCACAATATGAGTGTTCATTATGCCACTGAGCTGTACATTTAAAAATGGTTAAGATGGTAAAAAAAAATTATAAAAGCAGATACATGTTTTTTTCCAAACAAACACAAAGTTTGAGACATCTGAGATTAAGTTACTCCAAAATTTGTACATAGGGTGGTGTGTCAGCTAAAGTCAACCAGAGAAACAAAAACTACTCAAAGCGTTGAAGTTAGGAACTCTAAGGCAGGGAATTGGTCAATGGGTAACAGAAGAGTTGAGCAACCAAGTAGAGATTGGTGACGGCAGAAAGCCGCTATCATCTCTAGGCTGGAGAGATGGGAGGAAAAGGCAGAGCCACCCAAAGGGAGGTGTGCAGGGGCTCTGGGTGGAGCTGGCAGCACAGTGGGCCTGTTCATCTGTACAGAGATGCTGCCCGGGGAAGAATGGGAAGGGAGACATGCCCCTTCCCTTCCTCAACCACTCCTCCGATCTCCTGCCTGTGTCTCCACTGGCTAGACCCCAATGGAAGCCAGCTGTGTTAGTCAACTTTTACCTGTTTATGCTGCTGTAACAAACAATATTTAAAAATCTCATTTGTTTATAAGAATGAACACATATTTCTTGTTCAGTTTACACAGTGGTGACAATGGGCCAGTTGTGGTTCTGCCCCAGCTGTCTTCCTGTTTTCAGATCAGGCTGAGGTGGTGTCCTCCATCTTGGTCTTGCTGCAGAGGGAAAAAGAAATGGCAAACCACACAATGGCTCACCAGCTTTTGCTCAGAAATGGTATATGTCACTTTCACTCATTCTGTCCACAAAGTCCTATGACTTTGGGCATGGACACACAAATACTCCTCCTCTGGGGAACTGCAAATGCGTAACCATGTTTAGGACTGTATAATCCTCCCACTGGGAGAGAAGCAATTAACTGGGAACAGGAATGCCCTCTATTACAGTCCACTTCTTAGTTATAGAAATGTCCATTTCTCCCTTTTAGCAGGAAAAACACATTCACTCTCCCTAAAGAATGATGCCCAAGAGTCTCAATCATGGTATCAAGTTTAGTATCTCATGATAATTTCCACATTATGTCCAGATACTGCTCCTCTTCATCCAGAGATGTATGAACTTAAAAACAAGCAAATGTTGCCGATCATCCCCATATCTATATCTTTTTTTTGTTGTTTTTGAGATAGGATTTCACTCTGTCACCTAGACTGGAGCACAATGGCACGATCTCAGCTTATTGCAACCTCAACCTCCCAAGCTCATGTGATCCTCCCACCTCACCCTCTCAAGTAGCTGGGACCACAGGTGCATGCCACCACACTCAGCTAATCTTTTGTATTTTATAGAGAATGGATCTCCCTACCTCACGTCTATAGCTGATATTGCAATGGTCAAACAAAGACAATATAAGCACTGAAATTAACACTCCTATTCATAAACAGAAAGAACATCACTGGTTCTTAGAATTCCAAATCTTTCTGGGTCTAGGAAATGTTTTTTCATTTGGTCCCAGTTCAGCTACCTGGAAGTAGCCCCCTGTTATCATTCTTCAGAGCTCCTGACTTTACCCTCTGCATTATCCTACTTGGACACATCTATTGTAGAAAATATCCACTCCATGAGGATTGAGTGCTTTCTCAGCCTCCTTCCTGCCCACAGAAACTTCAGAGCCCAAAGCTTTCTCCCCAGTAGTCATAGTCCCCTTTAAGCCAGGCTGGTGTGTCTTTGGCTTCACAATGCTCTTGAAAGCTTGGACAGTGCTTTGCCTGTCCGATTCTAGTCAGCACCATGTGTCAATCACCACACATATACTTCTTTGCCTTCTGGGCATAATTATGAAGGTAACTTGAATTTAGCAGGCCACCATGGGAGAACCATGCCTTTGGTCTGTTTTCCCTGAGCCCATTTATCCAACAAAGGACTTACTAGGAGGCGTTATTCAGGCCCTTGGTCTGTCCCAAGGCTAAGTTTTAAGCTGAATTGAATAAGCTTCGTAAATCAAAGCATTTCTCAATCTCTACCTTTATTGGTTGGAGATGAACAACAGTTGCATCTGTCAACCCTGGAACTTCTAGATTCTTTTTCCTTTCATCTCTGCTTACAAAACACCCAGTTCTTTCCTGAGTTCATCTATTTATTGTAGAATCCTGTCAAGCACAGCTAAAAGCAACCAAATCACACTTGTAATAATCTGTTTCCCACATCTCTGCCTAAAATCACAAGCTATTTGGTATATTGTCTGTCTTCTAGGTGATCAAAGGCAACATTTTCCTCGCGGCCTACCACTGGGCCCCAGAGCCAACAAAACCCTTTTTAGGATAGCATTCTGTTCTTGGCACCAATCGCTCTAATAGACAGTTTTTCAAGATAATATCGTGGTAACAAACAACCCCTTCCCCCAGTTCAAAAGTGAATTTACCATCTCTCCATTGAGTCTTCTATCTCAGTTCATGATGCAGTATCTGCCCAGTCAGCCAACCTGGAAGTTCCTCTGGGTTCTTCCTGGTTGACCTCTGCAGCAGCCACTGCTGGTGCCCATCCAAAACCTGTTCGCCCTCCCTTCCTCCTTTCTAACAGGACTCTGTTCAGAGACGTTGCATCCACCTACCCCTAACTCAGTGCCATCCCCAGCCCCGTGGGAGGATCCTGATCAGTCTAAGTTCCTCACAGTTGTTTCATTCCTCATGCACGTGACTGGTTTGGCCATGGCTATGTGACACAGTTCTGGCTGTAGCAATGTAAGGGGATTTGTGAAAGAGCCTTCTGGGAAAGGCTCTCTTGCTTCTGTAAGAGATACATAGGAAGAGGCCTGCTCTTCTTCCATTGGACATTGTCACAGAAATTTGCCAACCACTGCCTTACAAGCTGGAGGAGATGTAGACTTAGGTAGTATTGATACATCCACGATGAAGATGCATAGTGGGAAAACCCTTGACTCTTCATGGTGTCACTAAACTGCTGAATTAACAACCCTGGAGCTTCCCTGCCTCAGGTCATGTCATGTGAGATAATAAATTGACTTTGTTGTGTAGTTGTGTTTAAAGCAGTTTGATTCAGGGTATTCTGCTTCCTGCAGCTGAAAAACATTCTAATGGAACCAACTTCTCAACAGCCTTTCACCCTCTCCCCAGACTAATTAAATTAAAGATTGACTCTAGGTCCATGGTGGGTACTGATTTGTCCAAATTATTGTAATCTCATCCTCATTAACTGTTCAGGAACCCCATCCTAGAACATGGGATTCAGAATGTGGCATTCCCCTGGCCTTAGGGATGGGTTCGGAAACGGGCACCTGACCTAACAATTTAAGACATTGAGAGTTTGCCGCTGCGTGCTCTTAGAGAAACTCATGATGATAGAGATTCCTGTTCCCTCCCCCTTCTCTGAGTCGATGCAAACAAGGCAGCAAGAAGCTTGGATTGCTAGTGGCCACATTCTACACCCTGAGGGAAGCCAGACCAAGGATGAAGGTAACACAGTAGATGGCAGAGCAGAGGAGTGGAGATGACCTGGGTCCCTGAAGGCGTTGTTGAGCCCCTGGACCAATCAATCCTCTGCACTCAGCTGTATGTCAGCCATTATATTCTTTTTTGTTTAGGCCAGTTTGAGTCAAGTTTCTCTTACTGGCAACTAAAAGCACCATAGGTGATGACCCACCCTCCCACATCCTTCCACGCCAGGTAACATTGAACTGATCTCCCAAACATCTCTTGAATCCCAGATTTCTCAGCTGAATTCCCGCACATACCTCCTGCCTCACTGGCCTCCAGCCCCCTTTCCCTTTAGTGTTCTCTACATGCTGCCAACATAAGCTCTGAAAGATGAAGGTCTCCATGCATCACTTTGCTGCTTCAAACCCTCCTCTCTGTGTGGCGGTCCCTAATTCAGTCTCTAAGACTTATCTCAAGCTTCTTATGGGAACCCTTTTCTGACACCTCTCTGGCTGTTCCCTGACTTTTTTGGCCAACGATGGTACCTGATTGTAGGTTTTTCTCTTTGCTGGCTCTGCTCACTGGACTATCTTTTCTGTCTCTCCACTGGACGTAGAGAGAGGACCAACATTCCCACAATCAGTAGACACTAAGTATGCTGAGTTTATGTTAACATACTAGAATTAAGTTTCACCTAAACTGTCACAAATCTGTATAAATGTGGAGTTAACAAAGCAGGTAATTTGGTGTAGTGTTAAGAACACTGGATTTTGCAATCCACAAAGCCTAAAATGTTCTTTTGCTGTCAACACTTAGGAGCTGTGGGAAACTCAATCATAATGCCTTCACCTCCAGGCAACTTAATCACCCATCTGCAAAATGGAAATACTGCAGCAGTCATGTTAGTGGTAACATAGCTACTGTCTACCTTTTTTGAAAGGATCGCTATTTTGCCTGAAAATTCATTCACAGCCAGGAAGCAAAAGGGAAAAACTACTAATGCAATGGAAAGTAAAAAGTAAACAACTCTTTCATTATGAGTTTATTTTCCGTAATTTATAGCATAGGTAACAGAATCATTTTGCAAAGACATGGACAAGAGAAGAGTTAAAGAGGTGATTCTGATCATTGGAGGTGGCTTCAGAGACAGCACTCTGGATAAACAAAATACGCTACACAAAATACTTCTCCTGGGGGGCAGTCAAAACACAGAAATGTAGATTGCTCCGCCACTGAAACAGATTTACTTGGCTGTTCTAACTTCCACACAGAAGGGAAGACAGAGAGGGTGGTGATGGGGGGAGAGTGATTACTCCTCAAACAGAGAGTGATTTAACACCACCACTGGCTATGTGACAAACTAATTTGCCCAAATCACTAAGCTTGGGTTTTTCCACCCACATTAATTTGGCTTGTGCATGACCACAGCATCATTTGTTGGTGACAGGATTCACAGGCCTGGGCATTGCAGCTAGCAGGAGAACACAAACAGCTCAAGGCAGGACTCTACAGCCAGTTAGCAGCTTTTGCTCCCTCAGTGACCACAGGTCAGGGGAGCCCGTGGCTGCTTTGAGGGCTTGATGTGGTATTGAGTCAAACTAAATTTAAACCTTTTACCTAAACTGCTGGTATTCCTTCTATCCCAAATCTTTGGAAGCCATTGAAAGTGCTGTAAATGTGTCTCATGGCCAAAACAGCAGCCTGGAGCCTGTGGCTGGCTGGTTTTATTTTTAGAATAATGGGAGACCTCCATAAAGCCTCTTTCTTTCACTTTGAATCTCAGTTTCCCAGATGTAGGAAGGAGAGAGCACAGTAGCTTGGGGAATGGCAAAAACTTGGGCTTGGTGGTCAGATAGACTAAGGTTTGAGTCTTACTTTCAGTTACATAACCTGGAATAAGTTACTTTACTTCTTTGGACCTTGCTTTTCCAATCTATAGTATGGGAATAATAATAAACACCTGCTTAGTTCATTACTTCATTCATGCAACAGACGTTTATTAAGTGCCTCCTATGCACCAGACAATATCCTAGCTGAATCCACAAAGGTAAGTGAACATAGTTACTGTCTTCCTGGAGCTTATGGTTCATTGTGAGAAATAAATAACAGAAAGTATGTAGTACTATCTACGCCTGGCTTTTTTTTTTTTTTTTTTTTTTGAGGTAGAGTCTCACTCTGTCACCCAGGCTAGGGTTCAGTGGCACTATCTTGTCTCACTGCAACCTCTGCCTCCCAGGTTCAAACAATTTTCCTGCCTCAGCCTCCCAAGTAGCTGGGTTTACAGGTGATTGCCACCATGTCGGCTAAGTTTTGCATTTTAGTAGGGATGAGGTTTCACCATGTTGGCCAAGCTGGTCTTCAAAACCCAACTTCAAGTGATCCATCTTGGCCTCCCAAATTGCTGGGATTACAGGCGTGAGCCCCCATGCCTGGCCTATGATTGGCTTTTAATAGACACTAAGTACATTTTTGGGTTAACCAGAAATTTAATTATTGAAATTCAATAGTATTTTGATATCTACTACTTCCGTTTTCAGTTATCCCACTCCTACCTCAGGACCTTTGCACATGATGCTCTCTCTGTCTTGGTTTGTTTTTTTTCCCAGCTATTCACATGGCTCCCTCTCTCACTTCATATGTGCAGTCAAACATCACCTCCTCACAGTGGCCATTCCTAGCCTTCTATTCAAATAGCCCTCCTTCTTCTATCACACTATATCCTCTTACTTTGCTTTAGACACATTCTTAATGAATTTTTAAATCATTGGCTGGGTATGGTGGCTCACACCTGTAATCCCAGCACTTTGGGTGGCCGAGGCGGGCAGATCACCTGAGGTCAGGAACTCGAGACTAGCCTGGCCAACATGGTGAAACCCTGTCTCTACTAAAAATACAAAAGCTAGTTGAGTGTTGTGGCGGGCACCTGTAATCACAGCTACTCAGGAGAATTGTTTGAACTTGGGAGGCGGAGGTGGCAGTGAGATGAGATCACAACATTATACTCCAGCCTGGGCGACAAAAGGGAGACTCCATCTCAAAAAGAAAAAGTCATCTGTTCACACACACACACACACACACACACACACACACAAAATACCTCTTAGATTTAGGGCAAATTTTTGTGCTAAAGCCTCTATAATAAAATCATGTTTTTATCATTATTATTATTATTTTTTGAGATGGAGTCTTACTATGTCATCTAGGCTGGAGTACAGCAGCGCCATCTAAGCTCACTGCAACCTCCACCTCCCAGGTTCAAGTGATTTTCCTGCCTCAGCTTCCCAAGTAGCTGGGATTACAGGTGTGTACCACCACACCCTGCTAATTTTCGTATGTTTGGTAAAGATGGGGTTTCGGTTTCACCGTGTTGGCCAAGCTGGTCTCGAGCTTCTGACCACAGGTGATCCTCCCGCCTCAGCCTCCCAAAGTGCTGGGATTACAGGCGCAAGCCATTATGCTCAGCAAAAATCATGTTTTTAAAAGAGATTTGAAGACACTTTACAATAAAAGATATAGAATGGCCAATAAGCACACAAAAAGATGCCCAGCATCACTAGTCATCAGGGAAAATTTCCCTTTTTTTTGATGCAGTCTTGCTCTGTCACCCAGGCTGGAGTGCAGTGACCCAATTCGTCTCACCACAACCTCCACCTCCCAGGTTAAGTGATTCTTGTGTCTCAGCCTCCCAAGTATCTGGGACTAGAGGTGTGCACCACCACACCTGGCTAATTTTTATATTTTTAGTAGAGATAGGGTTTCACCATGTTGGCCAGGCTGGTCTCAAACTCCTGACCTCAGGTGATCCACCAGCCTGGGCCTCCCAAAGTGCTGGGATTACAGGAGTGAGCCACTGTGTCCAGATGGCCCAGAAATATTCAAAAGGCTGATACCGCTAAGTGTTGGCAAGGATGTAGAATAACTGGAACATTCATACACTCATAATGGGAGTGCAAAATGGTACAACGACTTTGGAAACACTTTGGCACACTGGAAAACAGTTTCTTACACAGTTAAATTATACACAGACCATGCAACCCAGCAATCTCAATCCTAGGTATCTACCTAAGAAAATGGAAAACATACATACAAAGACATATAAGGACTTGTACATATAAGGAATGTTTATAGCAGCATTAGTCATAGGAGCCAAAAACTGGTGACAACCAAATGTCTATCAATTGATGAACGGATAGACAAAATGTGATCTATTCATACAGTGGAATAGAACTCAGCAATCAAAAGGCAAAACTACTGATACATGCTACAGCATGAAGGAATCTTGCAAATATCATTTTAAGTGAAAGAAACCAGACTCAGCTGCAAACTGTCTGATTCCATCTATATGACATTCTGAATTTGGATCACTGTTTTCTGGAATCAGGAGCTTGCGGGGAATAATTGGCTATAAATTAGCACACGGAAACATTTTAGGATGATGGAAATATCTTCAGTGTGGTGGTGACATAACTGTATACAATTGTTAAAACTCATCAGGCAGTACACTGAAGATGGGCGAATTTTTTCATACATAAGTTATGCCTCAATAAAGCTGTTCCAAGAATGTTAAATACATTGAGAGATATATGCACAGAAAAGGAGTCTATGCTTGTCTCTTGTGGTAGGATTTGGGTGCTTTTCGTTTTCTTGTCTTTGCTTATTGAAATCTTGTAAAATTTCCACAATAATTATGTAGGGCTTTTGTAGAGAGAGAGAAAAACAACAATAAAATGCCATGATCGTAAATAATTGGGTTATTCAACAAGGAATGCATTGTTCATTCAACATTGTTTGTTGTAATGAAGCCCATTTAGGCTGCTGCCTCCTCCTCATCTATCTTTCATCAGTGGCACTTCTGAGGGGTGAGCTGAGGAAAAGGAGGCAAAAAGGTGCAGAGCTTAATAGCAATGCTTTGTCCATCCAGCCCTGGGCTTGGCTCTCACCTTGCTTTCTGGATGAATACACAGTAGACTAATGATAGGGGGCTCTCGTCTTCCTTTGCCAACTTCGCCCTCCATTCCAACGCAAATCAACTCATGCGTCCTCCAGGCCCCAAGAGAGACTCCTCAGCACAGGGCCGGGCAGACTGTGGTTTGTGGGGTCCAGGCCGGGCATCCGCCTCCAGCTCACATTGGTCTGTTGGGTGCTGCGTGGTCTTACTAAAGTCAAGAGGCCATTCATCAGTGGAGACCCACGATGAGGGTGACCACTCATGCTGCACATGGCAGGACAGGACACAGAGTCCCTCCAGGAGGCCCTCTGGGTGGAAATGCTCAGTGTCAACAGGCCTCTGGCCCTTTTCCCCCATCACACATCCCATTCATCTCTGAACTTTCTGCTTATGAAAGGGCAGTCACCTTAGGAGACCCAGCCAACCTGGGAGCATGGCACATCAGGAATGGTCCACACCGCTTCCCTTGGGTGTCTTGGCTGCACAAAGCCCCGAAAGAGTCCAGGTGTCAGAACATAGGAATCCAGTGAGGATAACAAATCTATAGTTATAAAATAGCTTCATAAAAACATCCCATGGAAAAAACGTAAAGTTTTCTAGCCACTCTAGTCAAGAAGTAAAGCCCAGCAGAAGCCCAGAACAACTAGGGTGGGCATGAGGGGAGTGAGACACATCACAGCTGTCCTGGAAGCCTCTGTTTTGTCACCCATAAAATGGCAAGCTGGGAGAGACCCTGGTTCCCAACCTAGGGTCTCTGTCCTCAGGGTTCACACAGGTACTGTTGTCAGGAACTATTTCCAGCATCTAAAAACTCCATACATTATTCACAGTAGCCAAAAGGTAGAAACAACCTAGGTGCCCATGGATGGATGAATGGATAAAGAAAATGGGGACTATCGAGACAGCGGGCTATGATTCAGCTTTGAAAATGAAAGAAATCTCTGACACAACATGGATGTGCCGCAACGTGGATGAACCTTGAAGACATTATGCTAAGTGAAAGAAGCCAGTCAAAAAGGGTAATATTGTATGATTCCTCTTGAGTGGCCAAATTCACAGACAGAAAGTAGAATAGTAGGGGCTGGGAGGAGAAGGGATGGGGTGATGTTGTGTATGGGTACAGAGTTGCAGTTTGGGAAGATAAGAAGGTTCTGAAAATAGACAGTGGTAATGGTTACACAACATTGTGAATATATTTAATGCCAGACGTGTAAACTTAAAATGGGCAAAATGGTATATTTTACATTGTGTATATTTTACCACATCCACAAAGAAACAAACTCCCCATATACCCACAGCATCTCTCTTCATTAAAGTGTGAAGTCACACCCATTATCATTCATATCCGAATGGGCAGATACAGCCTCTGATTAATTTTTTAGAAAAAACAAAAGTAACAGCAAAATATGTGAATTGTGACCCACACAGGAGTTTTCTGGGCAATTATATCCTTTCGAAGCATGGCATTTTTCAGGGAAGACAAAGGGGATGTGATGGAAAGGTTGGCTTGAGTGAGTATCTTGGTATCCGCACCTGCCCCCAGCCTCAAATGCTGATTTTGTACTCGAAGAGGCGATGCTAATGTGCCCCAGAGGAGATACCAGATGGCGTCTTCAGACAGTTTCCCCCCAGCCATAGGGACAGGCATTTGGGATTTGAAATGGCGCTTTCTCTGGCCTACTTTTAGAGCCTAGAGTCAGATTTCTTCAGAATAAATAGCCCAGAACCAGTTGGGAACTCTCTGGCCACATGGCACTAGCTAATACCACTGAGGGGCAGGATGGCACACCCTCTCTGAGCCTCTCATCCATCACCCCCAGAACCAGGACAGGGTCATGATGGCTCTTGGCAGCCTGCTCAGCACAAGGGTAAGAACAGCTCAGAGATGTCAAGAGTAAACACAATAGATTTCTTTTCCAGACCAAGAGCTTGGGCACCAGGAGTGGGCATTCTGGTTCACTGTTAGGCAAAAAATCTTTGGGGAAATTTTCAGTTCTCTCATCATGTCCACGTTCCTTGAAAGGCAGCATGCAGGGTGGGAAGAACAATCAGAAGACAGTTTCATCTAAATCCGGACTCTCTGTGGCCCTGGGAACTTGGCCCCTTTGAGCTCAGTCACTTTGTGAAATGACAATAATATTCAATCTCCTTCAACCTCAATAGTATGGATTAAATGAGACAGTGTCTGCAGACATACTTGAAGAATGTATTGTACAACTGCTTAGGAATTTTCTTCTGCCCTATACTTGGAATTCAGAGTGGAGCAAACAGTAAACAGTCATCGTGTGTCAGTGAAGGGAACAGAGCCTCAGAGCCCTGACCCCTGGAAACATTTCTTTTTCATTTACTAAATTTCTAGCAACACTGTGTTTTCTATAGAGGTTGGGGGAAATGTCCAGTTAACTGCCTTATGAGGGGGCCTGTGAAAGGACCCCCCCCAGGCAATCCCATGTCCTCCCGTGTCCTGGAGAGAAGCCATATTTCCTCAAGTTGATGCAGGGGTGCTGGGAGAAAGCCGGAGTAAATGGGGCTCTCCGGTACCTCTTTAGGGTACACAAGTCATTCATGTGGGGAGGAGTTTAGTGTGTGTCCTTCAGGAGTCCCCAGAGGGCACTCTGGCTGCAGCTTCAGTTGACCAACTTCTCCCTCCCAGGAAGAGCTGGGAGAGAGACCTTGGGCAAGGCTTTGCATTTTCAGTCCAGTGAGCAGATGTGTTTCCCAATGTGGAAAATGCATACCGTGTGTCCCCCTTCCTCCTTGTCTTTGAGTAAGTACAGGGACACCTCCCCTGGCCCTGCAGCTGCCTGTAGCAAAGTTCTTGGCTGGGTCTGGACGATGGAACCGGGAGTCCCTCCGCTGTTCTCTAGACTCAGAGGGCAAGACCTAGAGTGCACTGCAACTGAGGCAGCCTTCCCGAGGCTCGTTCTGAAGCTGTTCAGCTCTGAGGACAATGGCCTCTTGGAACTTCTTGGAACAAACAAGACAAAGCAACACATTAGAGCCGGCAGGAAGGCACATCGTGTTCTTCCAGAAAAGGATCAAGGGGAGTGGCTTCAGTAACAACATGAGGGACTCCCACACGTGGACACCAAGCATCAAGGGATAGGCCGGCTTTGCTTTTCACTTCTTCCTAGCTGCCTAATTAGGACTTACTGAGTTCGTGGTGTCCTACCTCACTCGGCCCTTTTGGAGCCAGCTGGAGACGATAAAAACCACACAGGCACTGGAATCAGATAGGCTGGCATGCCATTTCCACCTGAGAACTTTGGACGAGTCACGTCTCCCCTCCAGGCCTCAGTTTTTACATTTGTAGGAGGAAAAGAAAACCTGTCTCCAAAGCGTTGTGACAATTGAATGAGATGATGTTTGTCAAGCCCACCACACAGAAGGGTTTTGGGGCAAATTGGCTCCTTCCTGTCCCCCGCATTTCCCTGTGCTGAGGGTGAAGGCAGCAGGGAAGACATCACCAGCAGCTGCCCACCACTGCCTGGCTCTCGAGAGGGAGGCTCCATGCATCCCCTCCTAATCACACCATGCCAATGTCGCATGCGTGTATCTCGGGTCCAGTCGGGGCCCCCAGGCAGGGGCTCGCCCTCCCTGGACCACCTCCGATATCCCAGGCTGGAATGGTGAGGGGCAGGTGGGAGCAGCCGGGCCCTTCCCCGGGCAAGCCGTGGTGGGCCACCCGCGCATTCCGCAGCGGGAGGCGGCTGGGCCTGGGGGCCCCACTGCTCAGGCTGGACTCAGAGGGCAACCCCGAGTCGCTGGGCCGCACCGCCACGAAGACCCGCCTGCTCAGAGGCACGGGCCGCTCGGAGTAGGTCCCCTTGTGGCTCCCCCACGGGCGCGGGCAGAGGCGGGCGCGGAAGGCTGCCTGGAAGCCGCGGCGGAAGTTCTCATTGAAGTAGCCGTAGATGATGGGGTTGGCGCTGCTGTTGAAGAAGGCCAGCCAGTGCGCGAAGGGGAAGGCGTAGACGGTGACCAGGTGCAGCTGCGGCGCGCTGAGCTGCCCATAGTCGATGAGCAGCAGCAGCGACCAGAGCGGCAGCCAGGACAGCGTGAAAAACAGCGCCACCATGACCAGCATGTGCACCACGCGCGTCCTGCGCCGCGCCGCGCGCCGGTCAGCCGCCTCCTCGTCCCCGCGGGCCGGTCCCGGGGCCTGGCAGATCTTGCGTGCGATGCGTGCGTACATGACCACGATGAGCGCCAGCGGCGCCAGGTAGATGTGCGAGAAGAGCACGGTGGTGTAGACCCTGCGCATGCCCTTCTCGGGCCAGGCCTCCCAGCATGAGTAGAGAGGGTAGGAGCGGTTGCGGGCGTCCACCATGAAGTGGTGCTCCTCACGGGTGACGGTCAGCGTGACGGCCGAGGGACACATGATGAGCAGCGCCAGGGCCCAGATGACGGCGATGGTGACCAGCGCCTTCCTCAGGGTCAGCTTCTCGCGGAAAGGGTGCACGATGCAGCGGAACCTGCGGGCGAGGGAGAGAGACGTGGGGTCTGGCAGGGTCCCGAGAGGGAAGGGTGGGTGGCATGGGGGCATCTGACCTTCATCATCGCATCTAGGGCAGCGTCGAAGAACAGCTCAGACGCGAATTGGCTGAGTAGTCAAAGAACAAAGGCAGCTACAGGATTTATGAGAGGAGAGGAGGAAACAGCAGATCATGTGGGAACAATGAATTCTGTGTGCACTTTTCCACTTTTCTCCTTTTTTTCTCTTTTCTTTCTTCTTCTTCTTTTTTTCCTGAGACAGGGTCTCCCTCTGTCATCCAGGCTGGAGTGCAGTGGCGCCATTATGGCTCTCTGCAGCCTCCACCTCCTGGATTCGAGCAATCCTCCCACCTCAGCCTCCTGAGCAGCTGGAACCACAGGATTGCACTGCCGCGCCTTGCTAATTTTTTTAAATTGTGTAGAGATGAGGTCTCACTATGTTGCCCAGTCTAGTCAAAGTCCTGGGCTCAAGTGATCCTCCAGCTTCGGCCTCCCAAAGTTCTGGGATTACAGGTGTGAGCCGCCAAGAGAGGTCATTTATGTACTTTTGGTGGTAAACTGATTAGCTGGCAGCTAGCAGAGCAATCAGGATGTGCTGTCTGTCCTTCAGAAGGATGATTACGTGCATCAAATAATACAGTTTCTATAGATTCTCCAGAAAACCTCAGGAGGGCAGATATAGAGACTACATGTCAGGCTGTCCCTATGACATCTTGGCCAAAGTCAGTATCAGTCAGTATCTTCACCATGCAAGGACAAGTCTGCACGGCTTATTTCCTCATGAGGACAACTCAGCATCAGTTATCACACACTTTAGTATGTTTTAAATATATGGCCTTTAAAATGGTTATTACAATCTTTATTTACAGATAAGGAAACTGGGACTCAGGTGTTAATCAATTGCCTCAAGGTCACACAGCAAGTTGCAAGGACCAGCTCCGAACCCAGATTTGTCTTGCTTCATATGCCACATAAACCAGTAGCTGGAAACCCTCTATGTATGTGAGACTCTCCTGAAGCATTTCAACAACAGAAACAAAACCCATGCCTATTCCTCCAGGCCAAGGATTCCATCCTAATTAGTCTAGAAAGGGGTTTTAGCATTGTTTATTTGTTGTTTTTGTTTTTAAATCTCCTGGGGTCAGGTGCCATGGTTCATGCTTATAATCCCAGCACTTTGGGAAGCCAAGGTAGGAGGATCACCTCAACCCAGGAGTTGGAGACCAGCCTGGGAAACGTGGTAAAACCCTATCTCAAAAAATTAACCAGGCAAGGGAATGCTTGCCTATACTCCCAGCTACACAGGAGGCTGAGGCAGGTGAATCACTTGAGCCCAGGAGGTTGAGACTGCAGTGAGCCATGATCACACCACTTCACTCCAGCCTAGGCAATCGAGCAAGACCTTGTCTCAAAAAATTTAAAACGCTCCTGGGGAAAGTCTACTATGCAATTAGAGTTGAGAACTGCTGCTGTAGGTGAAGATAGAGACCTCCCTTTGCAGTGTGGTTCCAAGATGGCTGCTCTCTGCAAGCTCTTTGAGGGCAGGTGCCATGACTTTTAATCTCAACATTCCTAAGTGTGGTTAGATAAATGCATGAATGACCAGCGGGCAAGTTACTCAAAATACTTTCTGAGACTTAGTTTCCTCATCTTAAAATGAGGCCAATAGTATGACCTACTGTGTGGTACTTGTGAAGATTGAGATGACACTCACCACACTTCTTGAGACATTTTGAATGCTTAATAAAGAGGGGCTCCTACTCCCCAGAATGGCTCCTGTCATCTACGGATGCCAGAAAATAGAAACCTGAAGAATGTTCAGTCAACCTTACTTGTTCATTGGAGGGGAAACCTTGCCCAGAGGGGTTCTTATGGTCACATGGCTGTTGAGAGTCAGAGCCTGCCCTGGAACATAGGTCTAGAGCTGACTCTCAGTCAAGTGTCCTGCCCAATGCATTACACTGTGTCCTGCCCTTCTGCCAACCTACACTTTTTTTTGGCCTGAGAGCCTGACCTTTTACCTCTCCAACAGCCTGACTCAAGCCTTGTTGTCTCAACCTATAAGACTCTGACTTACTGGCTTCATACTTCACACACTCAAGAAAGCTCCAGAGAATAGTGGCTAATGCCTGTAATCCTAGCACTTTGGGAGGCTGAGGAGGCAGATCACTTGAAGCCAGGAGTTTGAGACCAGCCTGGCCAACATGGTGAAATGCCATCTCTACTAAAAATACAAAAATTAGCCATACATAGTGTTGCGTACCTGTAATCCCAGCTACCCTAGAGGCTGAGGCACAAGAATGGCTTGAACTCAGGAGGTGGAGGTTGCAGTGAGCTGAGATGGCCACGGTCTGCCAGCCTGGACAACACAACCAGCCTGACAACAAGACTCTGTCTCCAAAAAAGAAAAACAAATCTCCAGAGAATAAATAATTCTTTTTTTTTTTTGAGACAGAGTTTGGCTCTTGTTACCCAGGCTGGAGTGCAATGGCGCGATCTTGGCTCACTGCAACCTCCCCTGCTGGGTTCAGGCAATTCTCCTGCCTCAGCCTCCTGAGTAGCTGGGATTACAGGCATGCGCCACCATGCCCAGCTAATTTTTTGTATTTTTAGTAGAGACGGGGTTTCACCATGTTGACCAGGATGGTCTCCATCTCTTGACCTCATGATCCAGCTGCCTCGGCCTCCCGAAGTGCTGGGATTACAGGTGTGAGCCACCGCGCCCGGCCAAGAATAAATAATTCTTAAAGCATGTAGTACTGGCTATGAGTGCAATAGCAGTAAATGGGTGGAGGAGAATCTTGGGGTAATCCAGGAAGGCTTCCTGGATGAGGTGGGACTTGAAGAATACTGCAAATACCACTGAGAGAAGTCGTACACTCTCATTTCATTCAACAAAGATAACAAAAAAAGATCAATGAAGGGAAGGGACTTCTGATCACCCAGCTAGTTAGTGGCCTTGTGGAGAGTAGAACCCACTTTATCACTCCAGCTACCTACATCACTGGGTTACAAAAAACTGGGTTTGAGGTGGACAGACGATGTGAACACTAGATTGTACAAAGGGCAGGGCTAAGAAATGCCCATGCCGGGGAGAGAACAAGGAGGAGGGGATGGGTGGGTGTGCAGAAGAAATAAAATACTATTAGCAACTGATATTTGGACCCTATGCCAGGAACTGTGCATAAGCTTTTATAAGCAGGAGCTTCCTGAAGCCTCCCAACCATCCTGTAGGGTAGCTACCATTTACAGACAAGACTACAGAGGCTCAGAGTAATCAGGGGACCCACCCAACAGGATACATGCAGCGTTCGCGCCAAGGGCTTGAGACAGTTGGCGTGACTCGCCCCATCTTGGCTGCTGGACCTATCTGCTCTCCCCCCGCTCTCAAGGGCTGTCGAGTCGAGGTAAAAATGGCTAAGCCACTGAGGCAAAAACAGAATGCAGAGTAAGGGCCTGCGGTTTATGAGGACATTGTGCTGACTGCTTTCATATCCCCTTTAGTCTCTGTGTAAGCAATAGGCTTGCTGCAATTGAGATGCCTGAGAGGGGCAAAGACCCCTGCCCATATTTTCTCAGCTGAGCCTCTGCTCTACCTCCTGATGGAAAACATGATTAACAAGCCACCTTAAGGGCACCATTGTTTGCTTGCACTGTGTATCTTTGAAAAACATATATTAACTCTTAAACTGCTTTGTGAGCTGTTATCACAAGCCCCTGATAACTATTTTTACGTGGTTTCTGTTCTCTTTTCTGTTTACCCCTTTTCTGCTGAGATAAAGTAAATGTAACAAGAAAAAAGGTATAAAAGCTGTAACCTACAAAAATAAAGTGCCATGTTTTGACTGTAAGTTACACAGACCTCCAGACTCCGCTTAATTTTCTTCTTTCATTTCTGCGCACTCTCTCCCTCAGGTTGAACAAGACATCTACGTTGGTGGTCTGGGGACTCCCGCAGGTCGGGAGCCCCCCGGCAGACGTGCTGGACCCCAACAGATACACCTAGGCAGGAATGAGCGTATCTCCAGCTGATCTGCCTGCCCATCCTTCCCTGGGGTGAAGCATCCAGAGGACGCCCTTCCACCACTAACAATGCCGAGGGGAGGAGAACTCACACAGTGCAATACGGAGGCCTCCTGCGTTCAGGGCTTTATTGATTGCAAAGCCTCCTTGTCCCTGGATCTGCTCCATCCCTCTGGCCACATGACAGACTCATAGACTTAACCAGAGAATCTGATGGAATGTGAGGCCGAAAGACCAGAAGGGGTGAGATGGGGATTGAGTATGGCCTGGGCTGCCAGGGACCAGCAAGGAGCCAGTGGCAGGACAGTAAGACGCAGGGAGACCCTTCCTCCCCAGCCATACTGAGGCCCACCCATAAGCTGGCTCCCTTAGCCCTGGCTCTCCTGGCTCTGACAGGGGTGGGAAGATTCTCGCCACTCAGGAAATGAGGACTGCTCTCAAGCTCCTCACAGGCCCCAGGAATCCCAACAAAAGCCAACTGAGGCTGCCTCCAGGCCTTCCAGAAGGAGGTGGTGGTGTCCTCATCTGGTCTCCCAAGTTTAGGAAAAGGGCAGCTGGGCCCACAGCCCTTCTCTTTATGGCTCAGGATTTAGCCCCACTTACCACAGTGCGGCCCCAGCCTTCCGGCCAACCCAGCATTAGAGACAGTGGCTCCTCTTAGTGCCAGGCCCTAGTTGGCCCAGGGATAATCCAGCCAGGAAACCTCTTACCTTTCCACAGCGATGGCCACCAGCGTGAAAACGGAAGCTGACACAGACATACCCTGTACCAAGCCGCTCATCTTGCATGTGGCATTGTCGAAGGGCCACCCTGCAATGACAGAGGCCCCCACAGAGTGAGAGAGGCTTACATCAAGAGTCAGAGACCACAAGCCTTCCAAGCCAGGTCCCCTCTGAGCCCCGTTTATATAGGGCATTGATTCTAGGACCCCCAAGTATTCCCAAATCCACACATAATCAAGTCCTGCAGTGAGCCTTGCAGAACCTGCGTATAGAAAAAGGTAGCCCTCTGTATATATACGGTGATATGGTTTGGCTGTATACCCACCCAAAGCTCATCTTGAATTGTAGTTCCCATAATCCCCATGAGTCACGGGAAGGACCCAGTGGAAGGTGAATGAATCATGGGGGTGGTTTCCCCCATGCTAGTTTTGTGATGGCAAGTTCTCACGAGATCTAATGGTTTTATAAGGGGCTTCTCCCTTCGCTTGGTTCTCATTCTTCTCTCTCCTGCTGCCTTGTGAAGAACGTGCTTCCCCTTCCACCAATGATTATAAGTTTCCTGAGACCTTCCCATCCCTGCAGAACTGTGAGTCAATTAAACCTTGTTCCTCCCCAGAATTACCCAGTTTCAGGTATGTCCTTATAGCAGCATGAGAATGGGCTAACAGGTTTTGCATCCTGGGAATACTTTATTTTTAATTTGCATTTGGTTGAAAAAATCCCTCATATAAATGGACCCATGCAGTTCAAACCCATGTTGTTCACAGGTCAACAGTATTAGTGAGATTTTCTGTGTTGACCAGTGATTTATCTCCATGAGCTTTAGACCATCCAGCCCTGCCTGGCTCTCTGCTCCCATAGCCCTGTCTCAGGATCTCGGCCAGTGGTTCTTGACACTGGCTGCTCACAAGAATCACCTGGAGAGCTCTGCAAAGAACAAATGATCAGACCCATGCCAGGCCAATTACGATCAGAATCTCCAGTGGTGGTACCCAGACAACAGTTGTTTTGTTTTGTTTGAGATAGGATCTGGCTGTCACCCAGGCTGGAGTACAGTGGCATGATCATAGCAGCCTCAACTTCCTGGGCTCAAGTGATTCTACTTCCTCAGCCTCCTGAGTAGCTGGAACCATAGGCATGTGCTACCACACTCAGCTTTTTATTTTTTGTAGAGATGGGATCTTGCTATGTTGTCCAGTCTAATCTTGAAGTCCTGGGCTGAAGCAATCCTCCTGCTTCAGCCTCCCAAAGTGATAGAATTGTAAGCATGAGCCACTGTGCCCAGTCCGCATCAGTTTGTTTTCTTTTTAAGATGGGATTCTGCTATGTTGTCCAAGCTGGTCTCTAACTCCTGGACTCAATGATCCTCTTGCTGCACCTTCCTAAGTAGCTGCGATTACAGGTGCACCCCACCACTCCTGCCTCTCCATCATTATTTTAAAAATCAACCCAGAGGATTCAAGTGGCAGCATAGTTGAGAACCACTAGGACAAATCAATCAATACCTCTCCTAGATAGGGAGAGGTATGAGCAGCTCCAACCCCCACATCCTAGGCTTCTCCTTTGTCAGGAGACCTGGGCCCCACCTGCTCTTGGGACTGTAACCACATCACTGGTCACAGCTTTGTTCCTGAGGCTGTCTTGGTAGCAGCCTGATGTCTCTACCCCTCTAGACCCAGGGGCCCACCTTATTCTTGTCTTTCGTGCCTGAGACAGGAGTCTCTTCTGGAACCTGTAGCCCTCTTTTTACCAATTATGTTGACTTTCTGCCTGCACGCTTAACAAGTACAAGCACTATCTCATTCAGTCCTCACAACAGCCCTGCTATTATCATACCAGTTTTACAAATTAAAAAATTAGAGGGGATATTAATGTACAGTCTCTTTGCCTCCAAATCAATATGGGTTAGTGGTGTGAGTCAGGTCTAGGTGCTGGGGAGTTTCAGTGTCATGGGAAGTTAGCACTGCTATAGAAAACAGAGTGGTTCTACTTGGAAAACTGTGAATGTGCAAACTCTTGGACCCAGCAGTTCCTCTCCTGAGTTCATATCCTTGAAGACATTCCCGCAGGACCCATAGATGTGTCCACTGCCATGTTATTTGTAATGATGGAGTTGGAATGGTATGCCAGTAAATCAGCTCTTAAAAAACAAAAAAACCAACAAGAAACAAAACAAATATTCAGTTAAACAAAACAAAAAAACCCTGGTTTGTTGCATTTGCCAGTTTCTGTGGTATAAGCCTCTGTACACGGCAAAGTTCAAACTACCAATATGTTATCACTTGAGAAGAAATGTCCACAACTGGCCCTCACCACTAGGGAGAGGCCATCCTGGTGCCCACCCCTGGAAGACTGGAGGGTGAATGTGGTGGACACACACCGCGGAGTACAAGGCAGCGGCTAGAAGCCACAGGTCAGGTGTCCACAAGGCAACATGAATAGAAGGCTTAGCAAAAAAAAAAAAGAGAGAGAGAGAGAGAGAAAGAAATAGAATGAAATCTATGACACAAACCATTCATTTAAATTAACAATATAACCAGAAAAAATCTGATACAGGAAAATCCTGGCATAGAAAAAACACAAAAGGGAAATAGCCCAAGCAGACATTAAAATATACTATCAAGGCCAAATGCAGTGGTTCACCCCTGTAATCTCAGCACTTTGGGAGGCCAAGGCAGGAGGATTCAGCCCAGGAGTTCAAAACCAGCCTGGGCAATATAGTGAGACTCTGTCTTTACCAAAAAATTTTAAAAACATGTTCATACCTCATTCATAATTAGAAAAATATAAATGGCCGCAGCAAGGTTATGGAGAAATAGGCTCTATCAGACATTGCTAGTAGGAATGCAAACTGATACGGACTTTATGGAGGGGAATTGGGATACATAACAAACTACATAAGCATTTACCTTTTGATCTGGCAATCTCACTTTGTTTTCTTCTTTTGAGACAGGGTCTCACTCTGTCACTTAGGCAGTGGCATGATCATGGCTCACTGCAGCCTCGACCTCCTGGATTCAGATGAATCCAGTCTCCCCAGTGGCTGGGACTACAGGTGTGTGCCACTATGCCTGGCTAATTTTTGTATTATTTTTGTAGAGGCAAGGTTTGGCCATGTTATCCAGGTTGATCTCAAACTCCTGGGCTCAAGTGATTCACCTGCCTTGGCCTCCCAAAGTGCTGGGATTACAGGCGTCACTGCTCTCAGCAGCAATCTCACTCTTGTACTCTAGCCTAAATGTAACTCCAACGATAAAAATACATATGTATAAGGTTATCCATTGTAGTATTGTTTGTAATTGCAAAGTAATAGAAACAACCTAAATCCTCATGTGAAGAAATGGTTGAATAAACTATGATACATCCCTTTGTAGAGTATTAAACAGCGGCAACAAAGACTGAGGAAGACCCCTAGGAACTGATATGAAATGACTTCCAAAGTGCAGAAAGCAAAGCATTAAGACATCTATAGGATATTACTCTTCATGTAAGAAAAAAGAGATTAAGAAAATATATGCTTATTTTCTCATTGTACCAAAGTTACAGAAAAGATAAATCAGAATAATGAGATTAACTATCTATACAGAGAGAAGATTAGAATTGGGTAGAAATAATGAATGAATGGGATAGTTGAGATAATGAGAGTGATGTCTCTCTGAGTATATCTTTGTATGGTTCTGACTTTTTAGAATCATGGCAATGTTTCATTTACCAAAAAAATAAATAATCAATATCTATCAGGATGTGGTTGGGAGAGAGGACTCAAAGTGAAATACAAGCATTAACAAATAAGCCTAATAGTACTACAAATGAATCATATTGTATTTAAATTTAATAATATTCACACTGAAGGGGTGAAGGAGAAACAGACTGACTGAAGTAACTTTGGAAAACAGTATTCTGACTGTATACTATAACAGCAAAAAGAACTGTAAACAAATTCCATACTGTCATTAATAAATTTGTGGTGCTCTTGACAAAACTGAATAAACTGGATCTAATTATGGGAAAACATCAGGCAAACCTCAATCACAGAAGTATGGTAGCAGTAATGAAACTACCTTATGTGTGTACTAAGATTGAACAAATAAGTAAATCTATTGTAGATGAATACAGCTAGATTTCTCACTGCCTGAAAAAGAAGTTACCAATAAAGAAGAGGGAAAGTCCAACTGAATCTGTGACAGTGGGTTGGAATCAGAAGTATCAGTCTGAACTCATGTTAATACACATACAGATGGTCAGATATAGAAATAAAATTATGTGTGTTAAATATTTCTGTTAGTATACATTATTTCCTAGCTCTGTCCCTGGAAAGCACCTAGAAGCAATGACACCCCAGTAGCCATGAGCACATCTAGAACCCAGATCTTGGCTTCTAAATAATATTCTCAGCCAGGCATATTAATCCTAGCACTTTGGGAGGAATAAGCAGGAGGATTGCTTGAGCCCAGGAATTCAAGGACAACCTGGGTAATATATTGAGACTCTGGCTCTACAAAAACAAAAAATTAAAAAAAAAATTAGCCACACATTGTGGCACAATGTCTGTAGTCCCAGCTACTGGGGAGGCTGAGGTGGGAAGATCTTTGAGGCCAGGAGTTTGAGGTCATAGTGAGCTATGATCTCGCCACTGCACTCCAGGCTTAGTGGCAGAGTCTTTTTAAAAAGCAACAACAAAAAATCCTTGTGGAACTATATACTTAAAAAAACAGATTTTAACATATGTTAAATTATAACTTAACAATATTTACATGTAAAACAGGCATACATTAACAACACATTTTCTAAGAATGCATACAAAAGACAGAAATATAACAGAATGGCTGCCTGTGGGTCAGAGAAGAGTTGTGAAGTGGAATAGGTATATAGAAGGAAATAAATAAACAAAAATCAAAGAAGAGCTTTGCAACAGGGTGAAATCATGTAGTGCCATGAACTGGACTGAATGAATGATTCGACTTTCTGTATGTGAGTTCGAAAAAAAAAAACGAACACAAAACAAAATAAAAAGACAAGAAGAAAAAGCTAGGCATGGTGTCTCACTCCTATAATCCCAGAACTTTGGGAGGCCGAGGCGGGCAGACGGCTTGAACCCAGGAGTTTGAGACAAGCCTGGGTAACATGGCAAAACCCCATCTCTTCAAAAAATAGAGAAATTAGTCAGCCATGGTGGCACATGCCTGTAGTCCCAGGACCTGAGCCCAAGGAGGTCGAGGCTAGTGAGCCGTGATCGTGCCACTGCACTCCAGCCTGGACGACAGAGTGAGACTGTCTCAAAAAAAAAAAAAAAAGAAGCTAGGCACAGTGACTCATGTCTCTAATCCCAGCACTTTGGGAGGCCAAGGTAGTTGGGTCACTTGAGGTCAGGAGTTCAAGACCAGCCTGGACAACATGGTGAAACCCCATCTCTACTAAAAATACAAAAATTAGCTGGGCATGGTGGCACGCACCTGTAATTCAGGAGGCTGAGGCAGGAGAATTGCTTGAACTCGGGAGGCAGAGGTTGTAGTGAGCCGAGATCGTGCCACTGCACTTCAGCCTGGGAGACAGAGTGAGAAAGAAAAGAAAAGAGAAAAGAAAGGAAGGAAGAAAGGAAGGAAGGAAGGATGGAAGGAAAAGAGTGAAACTATGTGAAGTTTTATTTAATTGCAGAAGATTCTATTAGAAACAACATAAATACACATCAAAATAAATTGTAGTACCTCCATACAGTGAATTCTAGCAGTAGGTGAAAAGAATGAGAAACTCTTTTATCTATTAATAGGGGCTAACAACATGTAAGTTGATTTTAATGAATCTTATTTACAGTATACATGATATATTTTTAAGTGGTGTTGGATGGGAAGTAAAAGTACAGGGCCAACTGTTTGGAAACTTAGCATATCTTTAATTTGCTTGCACTCACATAAAATATTTTTTGAAAGAGATACAAGAAACTGGCAACAATTGGTTACCTCGCAGGAGGGAGAGGAGCTGGGAGGCCAGAGGACAGGGGTAGAACGGAGATTTTTCACTGGAGAACTAGAGGAGCTGAGAGGCCAGAGGACAGGGGTAGAATGGAGATTTTTCACTGGAGAACCGGTAGCTTTGACTATTGAATCATCTAAATGTTTTATTTATTCAAACCATTTTTTAAATATGAGTATATGAAAAAGACTGACAGACACCAACTTAACCACCTCGTGACCTCACCGTATCACTGTTGACTGGTATGCATGTTTATGTGCATGCATGTGTGCATCTCTGCATATGTGTCTCTGAGTACACGTGTGTGTGTCTAGTTTTGGAAAGGAAGGGGATGTGGTTTATATTCCTCATCGGCAAAGGAAGCTGGGACTCAGCAGTGGGTAATGGTTCCACCAGACACAGCCAGTACTGTGGAGGGGAGCAGACTCTGCACTGGCTTCAACTCCTGGTTCCAAGAACCTACAGAAATGCAGGCTGTGTCTCCCTCAGCTCCAAGTCAGTGAAGTCACTTCGAATGGGGCTGTCTAGGCTCTGGATCCTGAGGACTAGTGAACTGCTGGGAGCTCTGAGCTCTGAGCTCAGAATCTGCAGGCTCAGACCTCTAGGGGTCTCCATAGCTCTGAAAACCAGTCCCTCACCAGGAATCTCTGGTTGGTGGAACCTTGATTCTAAAACAAGAAAGGCCAGTTGCATGAGAGAGTAAAGAGTATATGGCCCTATTCTGACATCTGCAGATGCAGGAATTTAGAGGTCAGGTGGTCCACTGAGTGGCCAGTCAGTCCCTGCTTGGACACTCCAAAGTTCAGAGAGCTCATTACTTACAGGGCAGGACTCTCTTCTGGGCCCTGCTCAATTCCCAGTTCAAATAAGTGGATTTTTAGTTTCCAATTCAGAGGAAACCTGCCTCCCTTACATTTCTCCCACTGGCTCTATTTCCACCCTTGGGAGCTCCGTGAGAGAGTGAGACTGAATGGTATAATACAGTAATTAGAAGTATGGGTGTGAGAATGTGGACCTTGACACCTATTAGCTGTGTGGCTACGGACCAGTTTCTTAGTCACTCTGAGCATGTACGTTTCCCCTTCCATAAAATGGGGATGACCATAAACTCTACTTCATTGGATTGTTGTGAGGATGAATTAAGATAATGCATGAAGAGTAAGTAACATCGTGCCAGGCACAAAGAAAGTGGGGAATCGTTATATCTCTTATTTCTAGTCTAACTCCTCAGCCCCAAGACTATCTTGAGAGTTTGAGACCACGCATAGCCAAGAGGCCAGCCCAGCAATGACATCTGCCTTCCAAGCTTCAATTTCCGGCCTTAGCTGAGAAGCTGAAGTGGGGATGGGGGACACTCCTGCTGCGGACTGTCCGCACTCACCAGTGATGAGATTGTCCACAAGGGTGGTGGGCATGCAGAAGATGCCTACCAGCAGGTCACTGATAGCCAGGTTGAGGATGAACATGTTGGTGACAGTGCGCATGTGCCGGTTCTTGAGCACGATGAAACAGACCAGGGCGTTGCCCACCATGCAGAGCAGGAAGATGAGGGCATAGGCCACAATGAACATGGCTGCCACAGGGGAGGTGTGCTGGTAGTAGGAGAAGAAGGTGAGGTTTGCAGCCAGGTTGGTCTCAGTGTTAGTCCCATTCTGACTTAGGGGCCAACTGCTGTTGGGAGGCTGGGAGGGCTCCCCTAGGACCAAAGAAATATATGGGTCAGGACCTTAGGCAAAGAAGAGTTTACTGATTTCTCACCACTGGTGAGATTCTTCGTGTGCCAAATCTTAACCATGCCCTGGTCCCCTAAGCATGTACCCAGCTCCAGTTGCAACTGGATGCACTGATCCAAGACTTTCAGCCTTGTTTGATCAAGATTTTCAAATCCTGGTGTAGTATTTCATGCCCTGTCTTGCCCATAACTCATTCCCCAATGTTGGTCATTCTTTATTAACTCCTCTACCCCATTTAGGTTCCAACTTTCTTGGCACTGCTATATGCCCCAGAGGCTAAACTGTAAGTACTGCATTGCCCTGGTTCCCTTGTCTTCTGACTTCTAGCTGTGTTCAGCCAACACCAGGCACTGGAGGAGATGGGAGGGCAGGAGCAGAAAGGGTGACTCCCCTTCCGTGGCTCTATCCCTCACCTGACTACTGTTCCCTCTTCTTCACTCACAGGCCTGCAAATGGTAACAGCTTCCTGTGGCTGTGAGTCCCTGGGTGCTTCACTGTTTCTAGCTGGTTCTCTTACTCCTCCCATCTTCCATTAAACTCGATTTCGTTAAACTCTCTGAGTATACCATTTGTTTTCTACTGCGACCCAATTATTACACCCTCAAAGTCTCTGATGTCGTTCCTCTTCATCTCATCCATGGAACTTTAGTTGAAAAAGGCAAGAAGGCAGTAGAGAAAGGGAGAATGAAGGGGGACTTGGAACCAGGGCTAAGGAACAGAGACACATCGCATTCAGTAGAGCATCCAAAACAGAGGCTCCTGCTTGACCTTTGCCTCCTCCCGTCCTGTGATCAGCTGCTCCGCCTGTATAGCATTTAACAAAGCATTTCCACATCTATTATTTTATTTAGCTCTCTGAGCCAGCCCATGATGTAAGTCATTAGGTATTAGCCTCATTTGTTTTCTTTTGTATTTTTTTAAAACCCTCATTGATGCCATCTTGACTAAAGCAAAGAAAAAAAAAGTAAAATTAAATTAAATTAAAACCCTCACCGAATTCCCCTAAGGTGTTAGCTTCATATGAAATGAAGGTCAGAGAGGTTCCACGGCTTGCTCAAGGTCCCACAGTGAGGCTGCAGCTGAGCTGGCCCTGCTCTATGTGTCTCTGAATAAGGACCAGGCTTTGGTGTGTCCTTCCTCAGCCTTGTTTTGAAGGGAAGACTAGTGTCCAACCACAGCTCTTCTGGGAAGTCATTAGTTGAGGTGATTCTTGATGTTGTCTCATAAACTCTCCTCCTGCCTTCCTCTGGAACTGAATGTGGCCTGTTCCAGGGGATGAAGAGTCCCTATGGAATCTTTCTGTCACATCCAGAACTCAGCCACTGGCCTGGAGGCTCATTGGAGGCTGGGGGCCAGGAGGCTAGAGGTCCTTGTGGGAGCAGGGCCAGTGAGCTGGCACCATCAGGGCTGCAGGGAACAGGAGGGGGCACTGCAGTGAGTGTTGGGATGGGGCAGAGGGACTGTGCTGGGAGGCAGAGAAGCTGCAAACTTCCTGTGCGTGATGAGAGATGACACTCCCATGCTTAGGCCTTCCAAGGACTTCCAATTGCACCCAAACATCTTTATTTTAATATGGAAAATGTCTAACATGTAGAAGAGACAGTATTGTAATAAACATACACAAGAATATAAACTTTAATGAGCTGTTATCAGAGAGATTCATATAAAAAACCCCCATGTATTCATCATCTGCTTTCAACAGTTATCAGCTTGAGGCCTGGAGTTGTTTCATCCACATCCCCACTTCTCTTTGGATTATTTGAAGCAAATACCAGACATTACTTCTTTTCATCCATAAATGTTTCAGTTTGTACCTTTAAAAAATAAGGACTCTGTCAGGCGTGGTAATCCCATTCCTGTAATCCCAGCACTTTGGGAGGCCAAGGCAGCTAGATCACCTGAGGTCAGGAGTTCAAGACTAGCCTGGCGAACGTGGTGAAACCCTGTCTCCCCTGAAAATACAAAACACTGGTCAGGTGTGGCAGCGGGCACTTGTAATACCAGCTACTCGGGAGGCTGAGGCAGGAGAATTGCTTGAACCCAGGAAGCAGAGTTTACAACGAGCCGAGATCACACCATTGCACTCCAGCCTGGGCGGCAGAGTGAGACTCCATCTCAAATAAATAAATACTAAAAAAAGTGAAAAATGTGATGTTCATCATTATCAAACCTAACAAAATTAACAATATGTCATTATGGCATTAAATGTCCAGCATCCAGCAACATTTCCTGATTGTTTCATAACTTTTTAAATAGTTGGTTTGAGTGAGGATCCAAGCAAGATTTCTGTTTCTATTACCTATTATTATGTTGTGAACCACCCCAAAATTTAATGGCATGGCACTGTGGCTTGGCAGTCTTCGTAGTTCTCTCTTGGGACACTCGTGCAGCTGCCGCAGTTATCTGCTGGCTCAGCTGGGGCTGGGAGGTCCAAGATGTCCCTCACATGGCTGGTGATTAGTGCTGGCAATTGGCTGGGATGTCCCGGTTCTCTACGTAGCCTCTCATCCTCCAGGATGCTTGTCTGGGCTTCTTCAGAGAACACTGGTCTCAGGGTTCCAAGAGAGCAAGAGAAGAAGCTACTAGCTTCTTAAGACCTAGATTCTGGAATTTTCACATCATCTCTGTCACATTCTATTGGTCAAAGCAAGTCACGAGGGATGCTCAGTTTCAAGCCAGTGGAGAAATAGTTTCACCTCTTCATAGGAAAGAAAGCAACATGGCATTGCAGAAGAGGTGTGGACATGGAATTGTGATTCATTAGGGTCCATTATGATAGAATCTACAATCATTCCCATATTGCATTTGGTCAATGTGACGCCGACGTCTCTTTTAGTTCACAGGTTTTCCCTCTGTCTCTTTTCCCCTCTGCAGCATATTTGTCCTATGGACTGTCATTGGTCTGTAGAGCTTCTGCTGACTGGATTTTGCTAATTGCTCCCTCATGATGTCATTTTACATGTTCTGCTCTCTGTCCCCCATACTTGGTGGTCAGATCTAGAGTCTTGATCAGATTATATCCAGTGGCCTTTCTCTTTGTGGTGCTAGGCTCAATTAGGGGACTCAGGTGAGCTACCTCTGCCTCCTGGGCTTAAGCAATCCTCCTGCCTCAGGCTCCCGAGTAGCTGGGACTATGAGCATGCACCATCAAGCTGGGTTAATTTAAGGTTATTTTGTAGAGATGAGGTCTCACTATGTTGCCCAGGCTGGTCTTGAACTGCTAAGCTTAAGCAATCCTCCTGTCTTGGCCTACCAAAGTGCTAGGATTATAGGCATGAGCCACTGTGCCATGAGTTTTTAACAGTATTTTCAGGAGACACTAAGGATTATTGCCTAGACCCCTCATTGCTTTTTTTTTTTGAGACAAAATTTCGCTCCTGTGGCCCAGACTGGAGTGCAATGGCTGCGATCTTGGCTCACTGCGGCCTCTGCCTCTCTGGTTCAAGTGATTCTCCTACCTCAGCCTCCCGAGTAGCTGGGATTCCAGGTGCATGTCACCACATCTGGCTAATTTTGTATTTTTAGTAGAAACAGTGTTTCACCATGTTGGCCAGTCTGGTCTCAAACTCCTGACCTCAGGTGATCCACCTGCCTCAGCCCATTACGCATAAATGCTGTCTTCCCATAGAGAGCTAAAAGAAGGGGCAAGCAAAGGCCCTGGGGTTGGAAGAAGCAGGAGCGCGTGAGGAGCTAAGTGGATGGCAAAGTGACCAGAGCGTAATGGGCAAAGAGAAGAGTGGCACTGAGTGAGGCCAGAGAGATGTTGACAGGGATCAGACCATGCAGTGTTTCAGAGGCCCTGCTAAGGAGCATGGATTGTATTGGAAATGCAATGAGGGTTGGAGGCTGAGGCAGGTTGCAGTGAGTCAGGATCGTAGCCATTGCCTGTAGTCCCAGCTACTCAGGAGGTTAAGGTGGGAGATCGCTTGAGCCTGAGAAGTCAAGGCTGCAATGAGCTGTGATTACACCTCTGCACTCCAGCCTGGATGACAGAGCAAGACTCTGTCTCAAAGAAAAGGAAAGAAAAGAAAACAGAAAAACAGACATTTCCTGGGTGTGACCTAGGGTAGGTCATATCATCTCCCTGGAAACCAGACTCTTCATGGATAAAATGGAGATAAATGAACACCTACCAAAGAAGGGCTGTGGCGAGGATTCAATGAGACAATGTGTGGGAACTGAGAGCACATCGTACACATGGCACGCGGTGTGAGGCAGCAGCAGCGGTGCTGATAGTTTGAAGCCACACAATGGATGTGAGCATAATGTTTTTATAATACTCTCGGTGTGGGCCTCCCGACAAGCCTAAAAGAAGTGCAAATAAAAAAACAATCCCTGACCAGGCAGGGTGGCTCATGCCTGTAATCCCAGCACTTTGGGAGGCCAAGGTGAGCAGATCACTTGAGGTCAGGAGTTCAAGACCAGCCTGGTTAACATGGTGAAACCCCATGTCTACTAAACGTACAAATACTAGCTGGGCATGGTGGCAGGTGCATGTAATCCCAGCTACTTGGAGGGCTGAGGCAGGAGAATCACCTGAACTGGGAGGTGGAGGTTGCAGTGAGCCAAGATCATGCCACTGCTTTCCAGCCTGGGCAACAAAGCAAGACTTTGCCTAAAAAAAAAAAAGAGAGAGAGAGAGAAAAAAAAAAGAAAAGAAAGAAACGAATCCCTACATGAATGAGCTTAACCCCGAATCAGTCTGGGTGTTTCCCTGAGTTCACAGGCCTCCCACTGATGCTTCATCTTTGTTACCATCTGCTTATCTATCCTGGGAACACATGGGTGCTCCACCTCTTCCTGAGAGGCTCCCAGGCCTGGGTGGAGAGGCGCTGGACCAGCTGAGGAACACAACGCAGTGCTGCCAAGTACATGCAGCATGAGCAGGACTGATGGCTGCTAACTACACACAACAAGAAGTCCAAGTTCATTTGTAATCTGAGCAATGCAATTTTAAATGAAT